GACCCCCAAACTCCACTTTTTGAAGGCACATACCTATGTTGTAGTAAAAATAACATCTTAATTTTATGATGGTACATGCACACAATTAATACTTAAGAGAAATAGAGAAATACAGTCGCCAAGTTAATGTCCATTCAAATAATGGACTCAACTCCCTCCCCCTCTTCTCACACTACTCTCACTGGCTCTTCCCTCTCAGAGAAATTTTTGGGGGAAAACCACTAAATTTTAATAAATAATACCTCAAACTAAAGTTAGGATAATACAATTGACATTGCTGGATTCCTTGTAAGACCAGGAATATTTTGAATATAAATGTCATATATTTTGCACAAAAGATAACATAGTTACCTAGAGAAAAAATTTTATCTAAAAATTGTATGTTTAATGCAAAATATATGATGTTTATATTCAAAATGATCACCAAATTATAAGAATTCCAGCAATGTAAATTATATTCTGACCGGGTAATTTGTATGAATTTTATGAGCTAAAACAAATATCTTCAGTTAATAAAAAAAAAAATAATCTTCACGACACTATCTGTCAATCAAAGTACCCCACCTTGCCTCCCCCCCTCTTCCAACTCAGTCAGTCCCCAACCCTCCTCCTCCCTTCCAGAGTTTTTAACATTTAGTATTAAATAATACCTCAGATTAAAGTTAGGATAATATAATTGACATTGCTGGATTCCTTGTAAGACCAGGAATATTTTGAATATAAATGTCATATATTTTGCACAAAAGATAACATAGTTACCTAGAGAAAAATTTTTATCTAAAAATTGTATGTTTAATGCAAAATATATGATGTTTATATTCAAAATGATCACCAAATTATAAGAATTCCAGCAATGTAAATTATATTCTGAACGGGTAATTTGTATGAATTTTATGAGCTAAAACAAATATCTTCAGTTAATAAAAAAAAAAATAATTCTTCATGGGGTAACAGATGGTCGTCGGTCCCTCCCTCCCCCCCACCCCCCACCAACCATCCCAAGGAGAGGTATGGGATAACCACTAAATTTTAATAAATAATACCTCAAACTAAAGTTAGGATAATATAATTGACATTGCTGGATTCCTTGTAAGACCAGGAATATTTTGAATATAAATGTCATATATTTTGCACAAAAGATAACATAGTTACCTAGAGAAAAATTTTTATCTAAAAATTGTATGTTTAATGCAAAATATATGATGTTTATATTCAAAATGATCACCAAATTATAAGAATTCCTGCAATGTAAATTATATTCTGGCCGGGTAATTTGTATGAATTTTATGAGCTAAAACAGGCAGTCAGGCAGGGTGGCGGGTGGGGCAAATCTAAAAATAGCGTCTCGAGCCGGACACTCACCGCGTATATGTGGAAAAAATCCGTGTTAAGTGAAAGTTCAGCTCTGGCGAGGCACCGCGTATATGATAAAACGCGTTAAGTGAAACCGCGTTAGGCGGGGTAATACTGTATGAGAAAATATAAAATATAATTTGTAACTGACTTGAAAATCAAAGGATAAGCTGTATTGAAGGTTTTTGCTCTGGATACATTCTTGGAGTGAGAGCTTTCAGCTAATCAGCTTACAACAAGGTCACTATAATATGCTTTATAGTACTGCATTGATATGAATATACCTTCCAAACAATTATATTTATTATCTTTGAGTGATACATGATGGCCTGATTTGGCAACTTATACACTTACTGTAGATAACTGATTAATGAATAAACCAGGGTATATGCAGATGCAGAATACACTATAATATTATTTACTAACTGCTGATAAATACACTACAATATTATTTATTAAGTGCTGATAAATATACTACAGTACTACATAGTAAGTGCTGAAGACATGTTGTAGTAAGTATGAGATATGGAGAGTGCTGGGGAGGGAGCGTAACTAAACCATGTCCTTGCCAGCGGTACACAGGATGACAAATCCACTGAACATTGCCCGTTAAAGTATCTGTGAAAGAGAGAGTGAAACAATATTGTGGCGAAGAGAAAGGGAAGAAAGATAATTATCAACTAAAGGAGGAGAGTTAATAAGACGAAATGCCTTTGATTCCACCCTATCTAACAGTTGGACACAAGAAGAGCCAACCCAGATATGAGAACAGTACTCCAAGTTAGGACAAATGAATCCCTTATAAACTTGAAGCAACTGCTCAGGAGTGAAGTAGCTACAGCATCTGTACAGCATTCCCAGCTTTCGGGAGGAAGCTTTAGTAATGTTGTGGATGTGTGGCTTCCATGACATTTTAGAGGAAATGGTGAGGCCTAGGATATAATTTTAGAATTTGGCAGAATGATTGCATCTTGAAATGGGAGATCGTCTATTTTAGAAAGTGTATTGGTAAATACAGTGGTCTCTCAGTTTTCGAACGGTTCGGTTAACGAAATTTTGGTTAACGAATTACCTTCCATAAGAATCTTCAATTAGATTAATGAACAAAAGTTTGATTAACAAAATCCTTACGAACATCACGTTTCGTTGAAAGCATCAACTGATCAGCTGATGGGCTAGTCTGCCAATTCAGTAATCTGTTCTATGTTTACATTCGTTTCCAGTGGAGTAGATATCAAGAAAGTTGTGTTCTTTTAATATTTTTATATTTTTTATTTTACAATTATTAGTCATTTTCAAATTTAGTTAAATAAAATAATCTTGAATTACACCTAATGAACTTAAAATTTTATTGGTGGAATTACTGCATCAAGCATGGGTCCCCTGAAAGGTAATTTTTCCTCCATTCCCACTTCCTTCTCTTCTCCCTTCTCCTCCACCCCCACTTCTAATTCACATCATCATCATCAACCAGGAACCTTATACATACACTCCTAAAAGTAAGTGTACTTTACTGCATTTTTTTTATTTATTTATTTTTTTTACTTTGTATGTACTTTTCGGTGAGCTGGAACCAATTACCCAATATCCCATTGAAACAATGGATTCGGTTAACGAAATTTTTGGTTAATGAACAACCCTCTGGAACGAATTGTGTTCGTTAACCGAGGGACCACTGTACTATGTATTATTACAATTGAATTTAACTAAGTTTCTACCTCCCCATTCGGAGATGCTGCACAGATCCGCATTGAAAGATGAAATGATATCAGCTCTAAAAACAGATCTAGTTTGAGAATTAGGGGGAAGGAAAAAATGTGAAGAAGAGTGAAGAGTAGAATCATCATTGTTAGAATGGATAGAATTATTTGTATTGTGAAGTAAATCATTGATAAAAAAGGAAGAGAGTAGGTGAAAGAACAGAACCCTATGGGTCACCACTATTGGTAGAGGATGAGTAAGAGATCGATCCTCAACAACAACTGCCATGGATCGTTTCTCAAGGAAGCTAGAAATTAGAGAACAAAGTGGGGGAGGGAACCATTAGGGGGAAGTTTAGAAAGCAAAGACTTGTGCCATGCCCTGTCAAATGATTTGGAGATGACATGGGCCATGACGAAAGTTTCCCCATAATCCCAATAAGAGGGTGACCAAAGATGGGTGCAGTAGGAGAGCAGATCACCAGTAGATCTCGCCTGGCAAAAGCCATACTGGTGATCTGACAAAAGAGAAAGGCGTTCAAGGTGACGGAGAAAATGAGAGTTTAAGATAGATTTTAAAATCTTAGAGAGGGATAAAGTTAAGGCAATGGGGCGATAGTTAGAGGGATTAGAATGGTCTCTCTTCTTCGTGATGGGCTGAACTGAGGCATGCTACCAAGAAGAAGGAAAAGTTTGGGTTTTGAGGCAAAGGCAAAAGAGGCGAGCAAGCACGGGCCAGGGCTTCAGCACACTCCCTCAGAACACGAGGTGGGCTTCTGTCCAGTCCATGCGCCTTACTCACATCCAACCTGGATAGCACACCAGCAACCCTACGAGTGGAGATTATAGGAAAGTGCACATGTTCAGTAGGAGGAGCAGGAGTAGGAGGGGTAGAGATGGAATCGTCTAAGTTGGAGTTAGAGGAGAATAAGGTGCCAAAGTGATTGGCTTTATGAGGGGAAGAGTTGACTATCGAGTTATCAGGTCGAAAGAGAGGAGGAAGAGAGGGAGTGCAGAAGTTATTACAGATGTTTTTGGTAAAGCACCAGAAAGATTTAGTAGAAGAAGAATTGGTCAGGTCCACTTGGTCCTACGAAAAATAACCTTACAACGATTCCTTGAAGTAATGAAAGAGGAGTGGGTAACAGGAGGAGATAGCTTCATAACTTGATACGCCCTATCTCTCTCCCTATATGCAAGAGAATAGAAGTGATCAAACCATGATTGTAAAGTGAAAGTTTTGGTAGAAGATGGGAATAATGCACTCATACCACACTCATACTACCTTCTACCTGCTGCTCCCAGATACACTCTTATATCCCACACACAGTATACCTCCTCCACTTTTTTTTTAAATCTTTATTGTACTGTACAGTATACAGTTTTATTTTCATTCTTAAGGCAAATTTTTTGGTTACTTACACATAACACTTTACAGTCCAAGACAATCATATCAGTGAAAACAGTTGTTGACAACCAAACTTAGTCTGCTTGTCAACCCATCATATTTATTTTTTCTGTTGGTGTACTAGTGTTTTACTAACTATGTTATGCAATTAAAGACCTTAGTGGGTGAACTGCAGCAATAACATTACTACAGTCCTGTATAACAACTGATTTTCTTGAAGCAGTCCAGATAAGCAGGGTTATGTCCATGAACATCCCCCCTCCCCCCCAATAAGTTTGCTTTTTCCGGACTTTCAAATTTTCTCGACTGGGGTCTGCCCAATTAGTATAGCGTATTGAGGTAATGTATTACTGTACTGTACTTCCTTTACTTTAAATTATACATATTTTGCCCCAGTCTTTTTCTTGCATGTCTTTCTCCCTATTGAAAAAAATAAATAATTTTGCCAGGAACTGTATTATTTTTCTCGTGATGTTTGATATTTGTATATACAGTATAGGGAAATATGTTGCATTGATAAATTTATTAAAAATTTTCAGGTATCATCACCACCTCACTCAGCCAACCACTCACGCATCCCCAGCCTGGTGGATGATACCATGGACAGCTACCTATCTATGGTACCTGGAGGTCATTTGGGAGATGCTGCTGTTGGTGAGACCTTTGTCCGGGAACGATCAGAGGGATACTTGGACATGACACCTACACCTGCTGTTCCTACACCTATCCCTTACAGCCCATCTGATGGTATATGGCCTTTGTCATGTTCTGTATTTATATTCTTTGTTTACTTAATTAGGGTGCTACCTTCTATTTACCTGTTGTAATTACTGATACAGATTCTGTAGAGTCTGTATTAAAGGTACACTAGAAGTAACATAAATAATTGTTTATGGGCAAAGTTTTCAAATCCGAATGGTTTTTCTCCATTTATTCAGAAAATAAACTATTGCACAGTAACTAGGATATCACCGTAATTGATGATGTGAGCTGTGAGCGTGAATAAAGGATGAAGCCTATGTGTAATGACCATCATGAACACATGTTTGTTGTGGGTGTGAAACAGGTACAAACTGGCAAGTAGCTGAGCACTCAAATGCTGACCCTCTCATTCAAGGTGCGGGAGAGGTCAGTGGAAAAACACTTGTCACATGTACAATTATGACTAGTCACTGCTCATAGTCTAGTTACCACGGGTGATGGAATTATGTAAACATATTGTATGTAGCCCATATTTATATAAGTATTACTGTCTGTTTGACGGGCTAATACAGGGGCATATACAGGGTGTCTCACAAGATATTGGAAGCATAATGTGTTGTCTAATGGTAAACCCTGCTGCCGCATCACGAAAATTGTGACCAAGTCCCAGGTTGCTGATCTGACTTTCTGCCTCATTTACACACAATTGCTGGGTCTCAATTGTTTCTCTTACTTTGACAACACAACATACATAATGTATATATTCTCTCATTTTTTATTTATTTTTCTCGTTTTTGTATTTATTTATGGTTATTATTATTTTTATTTTTAGTACAGGTATTCTGTTATTATTTTTTAAATTAATATAATAATAATAATAAGAGTTATTATTATTATTATCATTATCATTATCATTATCATTTTTTCGCCCCCTAGGCCCTGCTGTGAGTCAGTGACCTGTGCCCTGGTGGGCTAATCCCCATAAAAAAAAAAAAAAAAACTACCTTACAGATTTTCATGGTGACTGCATGGATTCTAGCCCTACAAGAGCAACATTGTCTTCACTTTGATGTGCAAGGTCTCCCAGAACATTTTGACAGACCTTGCACATCAACATGAAATGTAAAAGTTTAGCTAATGAAAAACAATTTACAGTAAATTCCCTCTGATCTGGACTAATTGTGGGGAAGGCCTGTCCAGTTTGGCCCAAATTCTGGATTAGGCAGGGGTCTGTATTGTCTGTATTGCAGGGCGGTATAGTCGGGAGCAGAATTGTTGACGCTGATCCCAATGGTAGAGTCGTCGACATATTTCCAGCAAGCAGGGGTTGCTCTTAGGGCATCATTGATAAGCATGAGGAAGCATAGTGATCCCATCTTGGTGCCTTGGGGGACGCCACAGGTGAGTGACTGAAAGGTGAAGACAGCCCCGTGGAAGCGTACAGCTTGGCGTCGGTTTCTGAGGAAGTCTGTAAGCCATGGTATAAGACTTTTTCGAAACCTGAGGTCGATAGCTTTGTTGATGAATAAATTGTGGTCGACTAGGTCGAATGCCTTAGTGAAGTCAATGAAGGCGACAGCTACCGACGTTTTTCGTTTCTCCAGATGGCAGTACAGTGGGGTATGCTATAACGAATCTAATTGGTTCTAGAACCTTGTTCGTTATGGCATTCGTTCGTTATAGGATTAATCCGTTCCAGGCCCCCAAATACAACCACTTAACACTGAAAAATATAATATAAAATTTTAAAAATTGTAAAAAAGTGCATACATATGCATCTAAACCCCTGAAATAAAGAATATCATTAATACTTGTAATAAAAAAACAATAAATTAGTAAAAAAAAAAAAAAATTGTCCTGATCTACCTACCCAGCGCCACGAGCAACGCCATCTAGGGACGAAACACGAGTATGACTCGTCTTAGTTACCACTCCGGGGTTTCCCTTCTCCATATCCTGGTTGTTGCGTCACCTCCTCAAAGTCTTCTTCGTCAGCTCCAGTTCGATGAGAGTTCAGTTCACTCTGGGAAGTGACCACAGGATCACCTATCCTGGAAACCTACGGCACAGTGACTACCTACCGTCTTCTACAATACTCAGCCTTACTCGTCAGCCGTCTCAGCTCCGCACTTAAGTATTTGTAATCTTATATTGCCTCCCCGCCTCCACCTTGCTTCAAATTATTGTATGTTGTATAAATATGTATATACTGTTAATGTTTAGGTTAAGTATGGTTAAGGGTAAATTATCGAAACCTGAATATTTTGTTCAGGAATTCATGGCACTTTATTATACACAACAAAAACTCGCATCCTTTGTCTTCCCTTTTATAGTCCGATTGTCTTTGTTTTTTGTTGTTGTTGCCTGTTGGGATCTGGGTAGACTTTTAACTATATTCTAAATCCTCAACTCGTAACAGTTGTAGGAGTTTCGTTGGTTATAGTATTCTCAATTTTATAGGTAAAACCGTTCGTTATAGGAATATTCGTAGTAGGATCCGTTCGTTATAGCATACCCCACTGTATATGTAGTCGAGAAAGCTGACAAGACAGTGAGTGGTGGAGGAAGTTTTCACATTACCAAATTGCTGAGGATCTACGGCTCCTGCATTATCAGCATAAGCCCAGTCGAAAACAAAACTTTCACAGATTAAGCTGGGTATTGGGGTGATTGCAATGGGTCGTAGCTGATTTAAGGATTGTGGGCTGGTTGACTTGGGCACTGATGACACATAAGAAGTCTTCCAGTCAACTGGGTATCTGGCTTGACTGAGAGAAGCATTGATGATGGAGCAGAGGGGTTTAGCAAGCTCTGGGGAGAACTCCTTGAAGAGTTTCATTGGTAAGTCAATGGGGGTGGTGGAGCATTTTAACTTTAGTTTGTCCAGATGTTTTGCTACTTCAAATTCTTCTACTAAGTCAGTGGGAAGGGGGGCTGGTAGGTAAGCAGGGAGATTGGTTGTGTCAAGCCGGGGGAGCGTCTGGCATATACAGTGGTCCCTCAGTTAACGAACACAATTTGTTCCAGAAGGTAGTTCGTTAACTGAAAATTTCGTTAACCGAAACCATTGTTTCAATGGGATTTTGGGTAATTGGTTCCAGCTCACCAAAAATTACATGCAAACTAAAAATAAATGCAGTAAAGTACACTTACTTTGAGGTGTGTATGTAGATAGCTCCTGGTTGATGATGATGATGATGATGATGATGATGGGAATTAGAAGTGGGGGTGGAGGAGAAGGGAGAAGAGAAGGAAGTGGGGGTGGAAGAGAAATCACCCCATGCTTCATGCTGTCATTTCACCCATAAAATTTTAAGTTCACTAGGTGTAATTCAAGATTATTTTCTTTAAATCAACATTGCACTATACAGTATAGTCTCGATTTACGCGGATTTGGTTTACGCATTTGGTCATTTACGCGGCACCTTGCCAGACCGACAATTTTTATTTACATTGTTCATTCCATCATCTACGCGGGAAGCGGCGCGGGCAGGGTGCGCACAAGGTTGCCCAGTCAACAAAACATTACCGAGTTCTTCACCCACCACAGCCAGCCCAAGTCAGTGATAGTGAGGATATGGACTTTGAGGGGTTTGACAAAGAGGCCCTGGACGCCTCTGTGGTGGATAGTGATACAAGTGATACAGGTGAGGGCCAATAATCTGGTCTCTGCCTCGGAACCATCCCCCATCCCCGTGTGCCCAGCCATCTTTTCAACTAATGTAAGTGTTAAAAAACCCTAATATTATTGATATTTCTCTTAAATATTAATTGTGTGTGCATACCATCATAAAATTAAGATGTTATTTTTACTACAAATTACTATTGTGTCGGAAAAAGTGTAGTTTGGGGGTCGGCCCAGTCTCTATTTCAATTAATCCCATATGTTCTGTTATTTCGTTTACGTGTTTCTCGTTTTACGCGGACCTCCGTGGGTTCAATTGACCGCGTAAATGAAGACTATTCTTTATATTGTCAATAGGTAAAATAAATTTCAGAATGACCAATAATTGTACTGTATAAACGTAAAAATAGTTTATGTTCAAGAGAGCCACAAGCAAGATGTTACCTCCACTGACCAGAGATACAAACTGACGCCTCGCTGGGTGAGTCAAGTGGCTGATTGGCGCACCAAAAACTGGTTTCCTGTACTGCAATTATGTTAAATAAGTGTTAAAATGACTACAAATTTTAATATAAAACTTGGAAAATTATTGAATAGTACAACCTTCTTGATATTTACTCAAATGGGAACGAATTTAAGCCCTAGAACCGATTACTGTATTGGCGGACTAATATTCCAGCTGGTGAGCAAGCGAAAATATGTTGACATGATTTTGTAAAAATTCGTTAACCGAATTTTTTTCGTTAACCAAATTGAAGATTCTTATGGAGGGTAATTCGTTAACCGAAATTTCGTTAACTGAGGCGTTTGTTAACCGAGGGATCACTGTAGTAGCAAAATGGTTATTTGATTGCTCAGCTGCGTCAACATTAGTGAGATGGCTAAGGAAGGGGAGGGGAGGTGTCTTATTGTTCAGTCAACAGAGTTCTTTAAGCTTACCATACCACCAACTGATGTTGGTCTGCTTCAGGTGTTGCAATTTGGTTGGGTAGTGAGACTTCTTTGCAGTGCGTATTTCGCAGATGACTCGGTTGCGAAGGGACCTGTTGTGGTCATTGAGATAAAAGGCTCTGTCTCTCTGTTGCATAAATCTTTTGATCCGAGGTGTGATCCATGGCAAATCAGCTGAGTGAGATCTGACGGACTTCTCGGGGATGAAGTGGTGGTGAGCTTCCGTGGTGGTGTTGGCATAATTTATCCATTTGGTTTCCACGTCATCCACACAAAGTACTTCAGTCCAGGGATGGTGAACTATCCACTGCCCGAAGAGACGCACTGCAGAGTCAGTAATCGGCCTGTAGGTCTTGATGTAGGATCTCTGTACTTGAGTGGGAGTGGCAGCTGGGGACCAGAGCACTGATAGGAGTGTGCTACACCCGATAGGAGGCATTGGTTGAGGTGGTTGGTACTGGTCCGCAAA